TACCAGCTGAAATACAGCCCCTCATGGACACAGCACTGCTTCCCCTCTATGGACAGCTGAACAGGCCACACAAGGAAGGACTTCAAAGATGGTAGCAGAAAATAAGGTATACTGGCATTTACTGTGGAAGGAGGGGTAGAACAGGAGGGAAGGGAGCCTTCAGGGCTCATGACACAACAGAGGATACACTATTTGAAAGATAAAATATCAGTTTTAAAGGTCAAATGCATATCTTTGCTATAAAAACAAATACAAGCAAAACAAATCTTACCAAAACTACTGTACCATCCCAGATTTCAGAAAACTTGGCAGAATGAGCAGAAGTTGTTGGATGTCTGTCCCAAAACTGATGTGAATAAGCCCATCCTTTCCTTATACATGGAGTTTCAGGGAAAGGTGCCTTAGCAGTCTCACCTCTGGAATCAAAGGCAGCAGACCAAGCACTAGCAAGAGGTGATGTGGTATGAAATTACTGTGATAGCACCTGAGAGCTGAAAAATGATACAAAGCAGTGAAGAATAAAAGGGAAAACAGGAGAGGAAAACAAAATGCACTCTGAAAGTACAAGGTATATACAAAAAAGTATACATAACTATGCACGGCAGAAGAAAATAAACTAAGTGAGGTTACAAAAAGGGGAAAATAAGATAAAGGAAAAGCAATAGTTTTCAAATTCCCATACATTACATGAAATGATATTCCAGCCCTGGCATGCCTGCACTTAACTGTATCATATGCATCCACTCAGGCTATCCATGCAACCTCTGTCATAAACCTTGAGTCTCACCATGCCACTCACGAACTCAGCTTTCATCCAGACACAGCTTTTGATTACAGTTACTACAGTGTCACAAGCAGACATTGTGTCTTGGCCACCTGTAGCCTGAAGAAGGGGAGAGAATGTGAAGGACGTTACTTATTTCAGATAAGTATAAGATGCTGAATTCGGCACAAAAAGAGAAGAACTTGACCAAGTATGTGTCCTTGTTAACAGCCTCCAGACTGGGTCAAAGTACTCCTTGGTCTACTTAGGCCTTGCAGTATGTTCCCTGTTGGATTTCTTATATACTGGAGAGATTGTTCTGCAGCATTTAAAAAAAAAATAATAATTGCTCTTGGCATTCACCTCTGAGAATTCTGGGGAACTTTCTTTTTGAGTTCTTGAAAAACAGTCTGTTTTCTTTCTTTCTAGAGCCCTTAGAGGGGTTATTATTACAAGACACAGTGTTACAACTTCATCTAATCTGTGGTTCTTGAGGAACAGAAGGATTTACTTACAGTTTTACATTCACAAGAGTACACTCACCACAGGATAAATAACCATTTCAATAGCTAAAGGATATCTTTTATCTATAAAATGTTCTAAAAATGTACAGCTAGGAAGCAAAAAAACAGACTTATGGCTATCTTATTGCAACATTTTTAACCATGCCTTGTAAACTGAGTATTTTTGCTGTAAAAACATCCACTACAAACTGGGAAATATTCATCAGTTTATTGTAAACAACAGTGAATGTATGTATTACTTAAACTTGTATAAGACCATTAATCACAGCACAGTCAAGCTATTAAAGCAAAAAAGTCAACATCTGGATTTTTCCAAAAAGCCAAATACTATGGGTACTGTTGACTGATTACAATAATACATGTTATTTGAGAAGGTTCATTCAAAATAGTTCTGTTTCTCTTAAGTCCTAATATGAATGTTCAAATGTTTGCAGCACCAAATTGCCAGTGCTTCAGGAAACTGCTACAGGGAAAAGCTGCCACAAACCATCCCTCCCATTTGGAGGGAGGGCAGGGAAAACTACCTAGCTGGTACAGTGACTTTCGCCTACTTTTACATGATACCTATATAGCAGCAAGAGAATTATTTTACTCTAACACAACATGGGGACAATGTCATGAAACACAACTGCCACACAACATGGTAATACCAACCATGTAACTACTGTCATCTTTTCATAGGCCAAAGGAAATGCTGTTGCCAATTTTATTTCCTATTCACTTACCAATTCTGTCCTACATAAATTAATCTGCTCCTTGAAACTCAACAAAAAAATCCTTCAAGTCCTTCACTGTCACCAATGAGTTGACATGAGCCCTAATGTAAACACAGCAATGAGTTCTCCTGACTGTATTCAAGTTCATCCCTTCTTGCTCTCATTCAGAGCTGGGATGCCTGAGTCCCCAAGCAGTTTCATTCATTCCATAGCTATACTACCATATCTTAAGGAAAAATAAGCTTCTCAGATAATCCCTACCCAAAGATTCCCTTTACAACTTTTGCCCTTGACAATGTGGCAGCCACTTGTCATCTCTGGAACAAGGAACAGCCACCAAGCTGCCAGCAAGACAATACTGATTTAATTCATGTTGTGATTTTACCAATTCTGTCTTGTCAGAAAGCTTTAATAATCAGCCCTAATAAGCCTAAAATGTTAATCTACTAGAAAGTATCTAGTTTTAATCTATCACTGTTATTCATATTACAAGATCACTTAGAAATCACACCACAAAGTGGCTGCCATTGTTCCAGACATCTTATTTCATTGCAAATAGAGTAAGCAAATAACAACAAGCAACCCGCTGTCTAAAAGGGGTTGAAATCTTAAAAACCAAACAAACAAAATACCAAAGCTGATCTAATTTAGGGAAAATTGTAAAGACCCACCTTTCATTCACCTGAGGGAAGTGGGATAGTGCAGTATCAGAAGGAGGATACTTTCTTCTAAGATGTTTCCAGGACGTTTTGGAGAACTGTCACAACCCCATTAGCAGTAATTCATATTACAGGTAAACACACAGCCTCAAGAAGTAAAGGTTCTGGTCAACAAAGCAGCAGTATACAAATTGAAGAATCCAAGACTTTTTTCCACAACATTGAGAAGTCTTTTATTGGCTTTTTAACCTTTCATCACTCACCCTTTTAGCACACTGCTCCCTGCAGCAATGCAGCATTGCCCATCAGTCAATCAAAAAAGCTCTGACTTGAAAAAACAGTGCCCCAGCCACTGATTGATAGGAAGCACCACATCCAGCACAGCGTCCATCCAGCACAGCACATCAGTAGGACAGACAAGGACACACAGTTGGTGGTTAGAGAAAACATGGGAGAAGGCATGGAGATAAGAAAATCCATTCTGCCTACAGCAATACCTGTTTCCTGTTAAAACCAAGAGAAACAGACCTAGGCATCATGGAGTCCCAGAAGTGACAGACTGGACCTGAATACCTCCCTTAATATAGGAAAAAATAGATTAACGAATCCCTCCCCTCACCCAAAAAAACCCAAACCCTAAGTGAAGGTAAATGAAGAAAGGATAGAAAGTACATTTCATTAAAAAATTGCTTCGTGGCAGAATCTAAACTTGAAATTGCTTTTGGGAATGACACCTCAGCTCCCAGCCACGATTAAGGATTCAATACTTCAAAACAAAGATGCATTTGGCAATTGTTTCTCCTCTCTTCATTCAACACTGAAATAGCTGTAATGCCAGTATCTAGACTTAATAAACAGCTTTAACTACCTTCAGTCTCCACCTCTGTTCCTCATCTCTCATTTTCCATTGCATGTTAAAATGCACTTCCATAAATAGTCTCGCAAACAGTAGACACAAAAAGTTGCTTTCAAATAAACACCTCACATAAAACTGTTTTTGAGACATATTCTACTCTCTGATCATTACTGTTAAATTTATTAGAAAATTACAGGTATTAGAAAATATAAACATTGCTACATTTGATGGGCATCAAGAAATACATGATTATAGTTTGGATACTATCTGAATTCAAAGCACTTTACTTTTGAGAAAGCATTTTCAACAGGTAATGCTGGCTTCTTTAGGGGAATATGGAGAATACAAAAATACTATCAAGCAACTACACTGGCAGGAGCGCTACCCTTGGCACATGATCCAACACAGTTATCGGACATTACTGCATTTCTCAAACTTACTGAAGCATCACAAATGGTGAAGCTTGCACACTTCTCATGCTGCTGAGATGTGACCACTTCTGTTTTGTCTGAAATGGAGGAGCCAAGCATGCTTGTCCCAGCCACTTTCAAGTCCCAGCCACTTCCAAGTCCCAGCCTCAAGGAAGACCCAGGGCCATACCACCCCTTCCCACTTCCCAAACAGGATTTGTGTAGAAAGAAAACACAGGCACACAGATCAAAAAGAAGCTATGAAGTTATCCAAACATAACACAATTCCAGTTTGTGATGTGGCACGCATTTAGGGGCAGGTTAGCTGCCGTCAGTGACTTCTATGTGCGTAGAGTCACTGGGCAACCAGGAGGAGGAATAAATGGCCTGTACGGCTCTGAATATATATGGTCCAAAAAGAGAATATTACAAAATACAGCACCTTGCAGAAAACTAAAAATGCTCATTTCAGAAATGTAAAACTGTATAACTTGTATAATAAGTAATGTATTAAGACATCTAAAACCACTTAATTTTTAAGAAATCATTATTTCAATATACCTTACTTAAAAAGCAGAGTGAGAATTACAAACCTTACTGCTAAATTGTTCAGAATAATTATGTTCAAAGCAGACTACTCCTTCATCTAGTACAAGTCAGTCTCATGGAAATAGGAAAATGACAAATACAATTAAAAATGTACACTCACATTCCAGTTGAATATACAGAATGACCAGTTCATATCATCACTGACAGTCTGGTACATGTTGTCACCAAAGACATTTGATTTTAGCTGATCTCAGAATATTTATGGTAGCCTTGAGAACGCAGGAAGTTTTTTAAAACAAATATTATACAAAATTTGGATCAGTAACAAAAAAATGAAAACATTTTGAAAGAATGACAAAGCACAGGGGAAAAGAACTGTTGTGCAGCCAACAGTTTCAAAACCGAACACCCACGCGTAACTGGCAACATTTAAGTCATAGAGAATAAAAATGCCTGCCCAGAAATGACATGTGAACTAAAGGCTGAAATGTGAGTCACAGGGAGAAAAGAGAAAAATGCTTACCTATAAATAGAAAAAGAAGCAACGGATCTAATGAGGGATGCCACTGCTCCAACTTTAGCAGCTTCCACTGCTCCCAGTGATCTATATCGCACAGTTTCACCATAACTGATGAAAGGTTCGTTGTAGACAACAATCTTCCCCTTGGCCTCCTGAGCTCTTTGGCGCAGTTCATCGAAAGAGGCTACCACTATGACTTCCGCCTTAATTCCTGAAAGAAAGTGTTACAGTGGCTTTAACATTGCTTTCCTACAACTCCGCTACAGTCACTTTTAACAGACAGAAAAGCATGGACTGTACAAGAAATGAGATGTAACTTCTTACTGTAAAAGGAAGACTGTGAAATGCTTCATCAGAGATGGGTCCTAAATAGCTGTAACACCATCCCTGAACCAAATACACACAGTGCTGTAAACCACGCTATCAGGCTGGTATTAAAACGTAATTTGAAGGGCAAGAAGGGTACACGAGAAGTTCTGTTCACTGCATGTGCTTTAAAGCCTCACTGCACTCATTTATAGGACCAAAACATTTTCAAAACCTGCCTATGGGATTAATAAAAAAAAAGGTAGTGATCTTTTCATGGAATTGTTTGTTATGTTGCTAAACAACTTAGCTTAACATAAGACAACTGGAAGTACATATTTTTAGATGGAAACACAAAATTATTTCATCCATAAATGAAATTAAATTAAAGCTCTGCAGTTTCAACAAATTTTGTCAGTATGCTTATAAATAATAATAATTTTAAAAATGTTCATATCTAATTCAGGAGAATACCACAATTCTATGGGACCTCTTTCTGGGAGTTTTCCCAGGAACCTATCTTTCCCAGTTATAATACAAGGAACACAGGCAGGTGCTGCTGCAGAACCATTCACATATGGTAAGTTAGATCCCACCCAGCTCTTTGTTTTTAATAGTTGGAATAGTTTTAAATTGCTGTACTATCTTGCTTTAAAAAACAAAGGATTTTATAGATAAACAGTTTTTCCCAAAGCCAGAAAATCCTTCTAAGTTCTTAGAACATTAATTGAGGAACAATATTTCACAGCATTTAAGAAGTAAACTCATTAAAGTGACTACTATGCTTAAAATCCAATTTTGCTGATTGGTTACAGAGATAAATAGAAACTGCTTAACAACATTGGCCGGTACTTTTCTTCTAAATATAGGAGGAGCAATGGATGCCTGAAATTTTAGTGTTGTATATTTCACTTAAAAGCCACAAAATAGATCATGGAAAACTAAAGGTAATAACGAATTTCTAGCAAGGATTTGTCAAAGATGTCAACTTACCATGTTTTTAAGAATGTTTCTCCTTAAAAGTCCTCCTTCTTCTTTTTTTTTTTCTTGGTGGTATAAGAATTATTTGGAGAAGATTTCAAAGGATTTTATTTGAGATTGTAATACATGAGAAGAACTGATAGGAAGATATCTCTCCCAGCACCAGTGTATCCAGGCTCATGGCTTTTAAGATCAAACTACAGTATACTTCAAAACCTTAAAGAAACTGTTTCACACAAAAAAGTTAGGTTTCTTAAGAGTGCACCACTAAGAGAGCAAGAGACATCTACTGCTACAGCACAAGCTGGGGAGTTTCAGCTACAGAACAAACCTAGTGTGAGAGGTGTAAAAATTTAAACTGAATAACAATTCAGATTCTTGGGCTTTGCAGAAAGAGGCACAGAGAGCCAAACCAGAGAATCACCTGCAGATTTTCCTGGTTGCTGTTGGCAGGTAGGTGAGCATGTGAACAGACTCCAGCTGCTTCTAATGAACTCAGGTTCAGCTGCCCACCTAAGGAGCATCTCGGCCACAGGACCATTCTGGGTGTGGAACAGTGCCACTGGAAAGCAAGCCAGGTATCTGCAAAATTTCATTTTCCACAAGAAAAGTCATGGTTTCAGTAGGTTGATACTGCAATCAGTATTTCATATTAGTTCTCCCACTGCTCCACTTGGATCATGCAGCAGGCACTGGAAGGGCACATGTTGTTATTAGTGCCTGTTTGTCAAGGGAAACGAGGGGTGTAACTCCTCTTGGCATCACTCTACTGCATTATTGAACAAACACCAACTCTGGATGATTTTTAAAGAATGCTACAAGCAGCTAGCAACTATCTATAATCCCTAAGAAATATCATGGAGAAGTACGTTTATGGTCTTCCCTAGACAACAGGCATAAGGAGTTTGTACAGTGAGCTCTGTGGGAATGAAAGCTAAGGAAAAGAATGCAGAGCTGCAAATTCCAGCCCAGTATCTCTACTTCTGAATGTTTCCAAAGCAGCTAAATAGAGCCACTCCTTGGCAAAACAACACAAAGGTTCTCTCTGCAAGTTTAACTTAATGGCAGCATGGTATACATAAAGCATTAATCACAGTGCTTTCTGTAACAAAATAATACTTCACTCTTGCCTAACTTCCAACTAATTCAACTAATTTGCATTTTAAATCCATTTTATACCATTTCAGTCTCATCTATTGAGGTGACAAGTGCAATGGTTATCTTAAATAAATGTGGACACACATACACAAACCACCTTAAGATCTGTGCAAAGTGAGAAATGAAACAAAACCCCCATCAGTTTACCAGCTTAAGGGGAACTAGTTTTTCCTGTTCAAAATGGGAAATGCCTCACCTTACTGAGCCTTTAAGCATCTTTACCCTTTTCCCCCTAGCACCTCCTACCAATTCAGTGCCTCATGGCTCTGCTTCCCATGTCAAAAGCTTTTTCTCTCTCTTTCTACTCCTATCATTATCTGATCCAGAGCTTGGCTCTGTGTTATTCAAGAGAAGTCCTTAGAAGTCTTCAGAAAATGCATGTAAGGAGGGAGCTGGGTTGCCTGCTTACTTAAGCAAGATATAAAGATTATAACCTACACAGTCCAAGACATGAATACAGAGCATTTGGGGAATTAGCTACGGAAAGGGCATGAAGTGTAGAAGACAGAATTACGAACACGATAAAGTTGGCTGACTATGAAGCTGAAGACTATCTATTTATTCTCACCACATGAAACATTATACATATTGTTGCGCTGCTCCAATGAGCAAAAGAATCTAGGTATTATTATGGGTTTCCTCTAATTTCTCATAGTAAACAGTAAATTGTACCTCATCATTTCTGAGAATTAAGGTACAGAAAGGGTGTTAATGGTGGGAACAAGGAGGCAACTTTCAATTACCTACAAAATTATATGTTACAAAGTCCTCTGTACACAAAAATGCACATTTCTATCTAAACACTTGGATATGCCACAACTTTGACGATCACATTGCTGGTTGAAATAAAGGGCACAGTATGCATTAGCAAAGTCTACAATCTGTCACAGACAGGATGAAGGCAAGACCAATTACAGTTACTCTTTATTAGCTACAGAAAGTCCAACTTTAAATATATATATAAACATATACACACACACACACACATATATAAAAGCACCTGTAAATCAGCTGTCTGCAACACTGCCATACATCAGAAGTCTGATTTTAGCACCTGCTTACCTGTCAACAATCGTGCCAGCAGAAGAATTCAAAGGGAATTCCCCATGAGACAAATTATTCTCCCAAGATTAAATTCAGTAAATGTTTGACTATTTAAGCCATTTTAGTATCTGAAGCTATGCATTTTTCTGTGCTAGTAACAGATTTTAGAAAAGAATAAATTAAAAGAAAAAAAAGGAAAATCCACCCTATTATCAGATTTTTAAAACTGATTAATCTCTATTAAAAGATCAAGGAAATTTCATACAGAATATTGTTGCTGTTCTTGGCCACACCAGAGCAAGACATGGCAAGACTTTACCATATTGAGCATAAGGAATTCCTGAGATTTGAGAATCCAGTCTCTACCGGTTTTTATTTATTACTATCCTAGAAACACTCAGCTCATAAACACACAGAATTGAGCAAAGCCTGAAATAAATATAATTTGCATACTGTTTAATCTTACTGGTTACTAATTTCCTGATTACTCAATTATGGCCTTGCTCTCTTCATTTTTTCCCCTGTCACATTTTTGTCATCCATTTAACAGCAACAGTCCCTGGGAGATCAAGTTACAAAGCCAAACGCAGCCATCATTCATTTGACAATAATTTTCTTCAGTAACAGCAAATGAACAACTCACCGCTACAAACCTTTGAAACTTCACTTCACACTGTGTTAACATAAGAATTATGATTTCTCTTACAAAACACCCTATGGAATGGTGATGCTGCTGATCCTCATGCACTGAAGCTGCCACTGCCAAAGAAATAGGGCAAGGCAATTTTTGCTGAAAACAATTAAAATACGCTATTTTTGGGTCTAGACACAACAAAGCTGGAAACTACATCAACTAAATCTCTGCTAAACTTCTCCATGTGTTATATATTTAATTTTTTTGCATCCTAAGCATAAAACACTGCCTGAAATATCAACAGAAGAAGTCAACAACACATCTAACTGTTCTGGTAGTGATGGAGATTTTGAAATGGGGGAAGAACATATCTGAAATACGTCATGGCCTCTGCAGTCATGCAAAAGTCTGCAGTCACGCTCTGCTTCTTTCAGAGCTACAGAGAACCTAGAAATTTTTATTGCATGGGTCACAGGGAAGAGCTGCACATATGAAGTTGCTATGTCATATAAATTATAATGTGTGCAGTTCTGCTGTAAAAGTGGCAGTCTTGGACCCTGGATGCCACATCACTCTGCACAGACCCGGAGCATGTGCCAGCATCAATACTCCTGGATGAGCATGTAAGAAGATGAAGCATGTAACAAGGCAAAGGTAGATACACGTTTGGAGACAGGGAAAAACAGCAGTTGTTGTGACAGTCAAAGAAAGGGAATTTGAGGAGTAGAGGGAAAAGGCAAATATACTATTTAAAGCTAAGCAATATTAGGGACCTGGCATTATATCCTATTCAGGCTCAGTATTCTCTAAAATGAGCCCAGAAAACATTTTTTTCCCTCAATTTCTATCTTACCCATTTAAAAACATGTCACTTTTCAGCTCTCTTCAGGAATTAGTTCAGCTTTCCCCCAGTGCCTCATGTAATTCAACAGGATTTTCAGAAAAACAAACCCAAATTCTGGGTCTATAATGAATTCATCAAATTAAGGCTTGGTGTCACACTGAAGCAGATGAAAAATTACTATAATCACTTATTTTTTTCTCCCTCAAAAATTATTGGCATGTACTGAAAATTTAAAATATTTTAA